GGCTCTGAGTCAGTATACTGTGTGTGTGTGGAGTCTTCATGTTAAACTGCGGCATGGTATCTCAGCGAGCTATCACTATAAATCGTTATCAGTCCAGACTAGTAAAATCAGACACACACATACGTGCAGGCACGTCGCTATATTGCAATAATCTTGGACGCGACGTTAAACCCGGGCGGTCGGGTAACCTAGTGGTTAAAGCGTTAAAGCGTTCGCTCGTCACGCCGAACACCCGGGTTCGATTCCCGACATGGGTACAATGTGTGAAGCCCATTTCTGGTGACCCCCGCCGTGATATTGTTGGAAAATTGCTAAAAGCGGCGTAAAACCATACTCACTCACTAACCAAACCCAATTTCACCTCACCTTACTCCTGCGATAGTTATTCAATCAGTCCAGTTCTTCGCATTATGAAGACAAAATCACACATGAAAGAGGTGAAATGGTTGTAATGATGGCGGAAAATTTGTTATTTTGTAGAATTGAGAGCAAAAAGCGTCAACGCGGTATACTTTATTACAGAGACGAATAGTTAATATATTTACACTGTGATCTCGGAAAAGTGGGTTGTCTTTTAATCTTGCATGATAAACATATATGTATGTCCAAGAGCGTGAGTATAAAGTCATTACATACACTACACAGGAAACACTATTGCATTTATTACTAAAAGCAGGGGCAGGGGCAGGACTGAGGGGCAGTATCGTGTTCCCTTGTTTATCAGGAAAGATTACAAAAGGGGGATCGAATGGCAAAATGTCTCGATCGCGGTCAAGAACAGCTCTACCCTGATTCTTTAGATTTGAACGTTTCGTCACTCGTCGTAGAATCCAAGAGTTAAATATTCATCCACTGTGGTTATCAATAACATTATGTCTCGATTTATCACCTTATTTTATAGAATGAATTAAGGGTGTATAACATTATTCGCATTGATTATCTGTCAAAAGCCCAGTTAATTGATTATAAACGGAAATACTTTACGTATAGACATTGCGCAACATAAAGGGAAATAACTTTGGTGTACGCTTAGCTGGGATGAATAATAATCAGAGGGACAAAGGAAGGTTTACCGATCGGGTTTTTTTGTAATTGAAAATGTAAAGAACTGTTGTTAAGTTTGAGCATTTCTCTTCAGCCATCACTCATTCCTGCAAAAGTGTGTAAAACGTCATCTGTGTCTGGGTAAATGTGTGTAAACAAATTTAGTGAAGACTGCTGTAAGAAATGGATTTGCAACCACTTGGCCCCTACCATGTTTGAAATGTTGTAAACAAATTTATTGTTTTTCAAAGATGAGATGTCCGAGATACTCATAACCTCTTGTGTATTATGCGATTTTATTTTTCAATTTTTAATTTTATTTTAAAAGTTTTAAATCAAATTATATCTAACACCCAAAAAACATGTAGAAGTATGTACTAGGTTTCTATTGCTCGTCAGTTCAGATGGCGTCTGCATGTATCGCTCCCACTATAAGTTGTTAGAAATGTCCTTTTATGCCAGTTCTTATAGTTCAAATATAAATTTATCAACATTTACAAGAATTTCGAATGACATGGTCATGACTTGGAATACATGAACTTTGTTGTTTGCATTTGTAACTTTCGGTATTAATGACAATTAATCAATCAATTTAGAGACATGTGAGTATGATGGAACTACTTGTAAATAAACAAACCATTTATAAGTATTTTAAAACGTTTAATGAGTCTTTTCAATCCTGTCTTTCCTTGTTATTTAAAATGTCTGAGATATAAGTTTATGAGTTTATTGCGACGCCTGTGTTTATTTAGGTGGACTCAGAAAGATATATGTCTGCATTTGATTAACAACATGCACGTATTTGTCCTTTTCATGTGTTTAGTTAACTCATGTAACACTTGATCAATTCAACTACCACTGCAAACAGGAAGACGTCGTTTGTGGTGGTCATTGGACGAAATATGAAAATCAATTCAATAAAAAAAGGAATAAGCATCTTCAAATGCATACATTATCTGTCATCAGTAGTGGCAGAGATTACTGTCTTGTTGAGGAACAGAGTTAGTGAGTGAATTGATTTTAACGCCTCTTTGAACATTATGTCAGTTATATCATGGTGGGACCGCCTCCGTGGTCTAGTGGTAGAGCGTCCGCGTCATACCAAAAGACGTTAAAAGATGGTACTTGTTGTTACCCTGTCTTGCGCTTGGCATTAAGGGGCTAAAACAAGGACTGGTCGGCTCGGAGTCAGTATACTGTGTCTGAGTTATCCAAGTTAAACTGCGGCATGGTATCTCAGTGAGCTAGCACTATAAATCGGCATCAGTCTGTACTAGTACAAGCAGCCACACAAACACACACACGTACATGCACGTCGCTATATAAGTGCAATAATCTTGGACGTTAAACCCCATTTCACCTATATGATGATTAGTCAGCTTGATATGGGAGGAAAGCACGAGGTGAGGTGAAATTGGGTTAGCGTCGGGTTCACGATTATTACACTTATATTGCGACGTGCATGCACATGTGTGTGTGTGTGAGTGTGTGAGTGTGAGTGTGTGTGTGTGTGTGTGTGTGTGTTTGTGTGTGTGTGTGTGTGTGTGAGAGAGAGAGAGAGAGAGAGAGAGAGAGAGTGTGTGTGTGTGTGTGTGTGTGTGTGTGTGTGTGTGTGTGTGTGTGTGTGTGTGTGTGTTCGTGTGTGTGTGTGTGTGTGTGTGTGTGTGTGTGTGTGTGTGTGTGTGTGTGTGTGTGTGTGTGTGTGTGTGTGTGTGTGTGTGTGTGTGTTTGGCTGCTTGTACTAGTCCGGACTTATGCCGATTTTTAGTGCGAGCTCACTGAGATACCATGCCGCAGTGAGGAAAGCACGAAATGAGACTGGAGAACTGATATCGTACTGACAAACCGAGACAAGATATGAGGGCAAACCGGGATTCGGGATGTGGCCTGTATAAGGGACGTAACTATGGAAGAACTAGTCAATGTGTTGGTGTTGACGTGATGTGATGGAGTTTAAAACTGGTTATTGCAAATACAAGCTGTCTTCCATCTTCCTAAGCATATTTTATGCGACACACGCACTTTCATGATGTACCCAATTGTATTCAGCTGTAACCATAAAGCACTGTTGATTGTCTAGTCAGCAAGAACAGCTGATTATGTCGGTGTCGGTGTCATTCAGTGTAAAAGTGTTTACGAGTTGAGGTCAGGAGAAATTGGGTCAACGTCGCGTTCAAGATTATTGCACTTATATTGCGACGTGCGTGCAACTCTCCCCCTCTCTCTCTTCATCTCTCTCTCTCTGTGCTTGCATTAGTCTGAATTTACGCCGAGTTTATAGTTTAAAATGAATATCCCACTCAGACACAGTATACTGACTCCGAGCAGACCATTTCTTATTGTAGCCTCTCAATGCAGAGCGCCAGGCAGGGCAACAATAAGCACCATCTTTTGACGTCTTTTGGTATGACACATCCGGAGGTCGTATCCCGAACCTACCTCTCTAACCTATATAAAAGCTGACATCAGACGTCGCTGCTTAAGGTGTAGCGTCCTCATTCATGTCGGATACATACACAGGTATATTGTGTGGGGAGAAACTATGTGCTGAAGGAGTATAATGGACGTTTACCTTGATCGCTGAATTTATTTGTTCCTTCTCATTCTGGAAACAAATAATTGGCTTTGATTCTTTTGGTATCATGTGGGTATTAACCTTGAATACTTGTTTGCATATTGTAACAGAAAATGTCATAACATCTGAGGCCAATATTCACATGGTCACGATAAAACTGATTTCGTGTAACAATGCATCTTTATTATATTAAACAGTTATGCATTTGTAATTTGCTTTCGTTTACATAATGTCAAGGTAAGGCGTAATACTAGGTAGAAACCGTTGGCATGGTTACAGAACACAAAAATTGCCCGCCCACTGGGTGATAGTAATCTAAATTAGAAAGACATGTTTGTTAAATGATATATTCAATATATTGAATGCAGATTCCTGGCCAGATTTAATTAACAAAACGGTATATAATGGGGAGTTTAGTGGTTTTCAAGAAAAGTTCACTGTTCCCTTCCATTTAATATATCTCTGTTGTCAAAGAGTGAGTGTGTTTTTACGCCGTTTTTTGCAATATTCCAGCAAGGTCATGGCTGGGGACAACAGAAATGGGCTAAACACAGTGTACCAATGTGGGGAATCGAACCCGGGAACCACTACATATATATAATGACGAACAAAAGAATCACAGTGACTGGCCAATCACAAATGAAGTATTTATGCAATCGAAAGGTGACCATGAGAACATATGTTTCAGTGTGAGTTGACACTTGATGATTTCTCAATTTTCCTGTGTGAATGTCGGAATGCTATACAAAGTGTGCATTATGTCAGAGTACTTCTCTGAGAATATTAACAGAATAGTTGGAAAACTACCCTCACAGTCAATATCAGAAGTTCAGGGGTCTTATACAGAACTTTGGGGGAGAGGGAGACAGCTGTGAATTTTGACTACTGGACTTTGTGAAGAAAGAGACCAGAAAAGCGCATGACCCCATGTTTGGACAAGAAGCTCTCAGAAAAGAGAACACGGGAAGGTGCACTGTCTACGTACCAGACTAAGCTTACATTTGCTGCTAATTAGGTTAATACACTTGAAACAGGGGATCAGACAGAGTGGCAGGTAGGGTTTTTACCTCTATTATACCAGATCATTGCGAAAACCTTGTTTGTATTTGTGATCCCATGTGCATAATGACAAATGTCTTCTGACTTGGAGCAATATGTGAAGGTATAATTTCTACAGTTTTCTTGTTGTTAAAATTGACATTTTCTCTGCTAAGAACAACGCAACAGCTTGTTTATTCTGTCTATTTCAACATAAAACGAATATATTTATAAAGTGATTCATTACAAATATAATGTGAATTATTCATGATTTACTGTACTGTGTACTGTGTATTTTATATATTATAGTATTTGAACATGGCGCACAGTACTTCACATATGACGTTGTTATTCCAATAATGTTTCGTCACAATAAACTCTCACAACATGATATATCTGCTGACAGCTCACAATAGATCTGAGAAACTGTGTCACAGTGTACGAGAATCGCGTGTCACGTGATCACATTCATTCTCCCCGATGGCTTGAACATGTCACGTGATCATCAGTGTAGCTGAGGCAACAACCAGGAAGTGATAAACAGTCTACCCCGGGTGCTCGTCCAGGTTGCGTATCTGTAAAGGTAACACAATAGATGTCTGATAAAATGTAACTGGAATATGTTGTTTTCGGATTCATTGCACACAGACTCGTGTTAAAACCACTCATATATTTGAAATATAGTCGACATCAAGGTAAATTGAACTTCAATAACGAAAGTAGCTTGACAATTCCTCGAGTCCTGACTTGAAGGTTGAAATAGGTGTCAAATATGTATGTATGTATGTGTGTATGTATGTGTGTGTGTGTGTGTGTGTGTGTGTGTGTGTGTGTGTGTGTGTGTGTGTGTGTGTGTGTGTGTGTGTGTGTGTGTGTGTGTGTGTGTGTGTGTGTGTGTGTGTGTGTGTGTGTGTGTGTGTGTGTATGTTGAGTTCTGACTTGCAGGTTGAAATAAGTGTAACATGTTGACAGATGTTGAATGTGCTGTTAGGTCTCTTCAAAACGACGTAACCATATGTCGCACGTGCTTGTGAGATCTAGAATCCAAGTGTGAACGGATTAATGCAGTGGTGGCAGTGTTTATACAAGAGTCGCAAATTTGTATATGAATATTAGAGTTATGTCCCTTTATCAGTATACCATTGCACTGGACACAGGACCCGTAGCTGAACATGGAATCAAAATGGTGTGTGTATGTATGTGTGTTTATATATGTGTGTGTATATATGTATGCATGTGTGTGTGTGTGTGTCTGTATATGTATGTATGTATGTATGTATGTATGTATGTATGTATGTATGTATGTATGTATGTATGTGTGTGTGTGTGTGTGTGTGTGTGTGTGTGTGTGTGTGTGTGTGTGTGTGTGTGTGTGTGTGTATGTATGTATGTATGTGTGTGTGTATGAGAGTATGTACGTGTGTGTGGAGTATGTACGTGTGTGTGTGTGTGTGTGTGTAATTATGCATGTATGTGTGTGTCTGTTTGTGTGTGTATGTGTGTTTTATTATGATCAAGAATAGATCATTGGAGATACTTAGGACCATGAAATATATTTTCATAAACTCGTACTGAAGATATAGCTAAGTCGGAGTATTTCTTTCCATCAGAAATGGCCACCGCAAAGAAATTGACGGACAACCATCTGACCTGTCTCATCTGTGCAAAGGTGTTCACAGACCCTGCCACACTTCAGTGTAGTCACACATTCTGTAAGTCGTGTCTGCTGAAATACACCAAAACACAGCCTAAAGCAATTCAAGCCAAGTCTATTCCATGTCCCTCCTGCAGACAACTGACGAAGGTGGCCAACCCTGAAAGTCCTGTAGAGAAGTGGGTCAGTCAATTGAAACCAAGCCACGTCATCCAGGGGCTGATGGACGATTTGGGGGAATCGTCAGGTAGGGAATTTTTAAACGTTTTCATGTCTTGCACACCAAGATATTGGAAATGCAGTTTCATATTTATTAAAGTGAGAAGGATTGAGTTCGAAGTGAGCTGGTTTATATTGACATTTATACACCTAACAACTATGGCTCGTAAACATACAGTATGTTTTAAAAGTTGTGCAATGTGGTTGTGTTTTCTAGAAATTGCATTGTTTGTAACACGCTGTGCTTTATGTTTAGATACCTGTAGCGTGTGCAAAGAAGATGGGGAGACAACTCCAGGCGCTGTGTGGTGCACCATTTGTGACGATGTCTTTTGTGATGGATGTCTCAAGTTACACAAGAAGATGCCGCTGTCACGTGACCATGAAGTGATTGACTTATGTATCCATAGTAACGAGAAACCGAAGGCACAGCGCTTTATGTGCAGAATTCACAAGGATGAAAAGATAAAACTGTTTTGTAAAGATTGCAGGATGGCAATTTGTACTGTTTGCTGCAGTATCAAACACAAGAAGTGTGATGATGTTGAAACCATAGATACAATGACGCCTCTTGTAAAAGAAAGTCTGATAATTGAAACTAGAAACGAAGAGAGAAAAATTGAAAATTACACTGAGAATATTTCATCAACAAATTCGAAAATTGAAAAGCTATCGACGAACGCACAGGAGATGAAAGACCAAGTTCGGAAAGTACGTATGGCAGCTGTAGACGTTCTTCTGAGAAAAGAAAAGAAACTGCTGGATCGTATCGATCAACTCACTAAGATACGTATGGACGAATTGAAAGCCCACAGAAAGTCCCAGGAAATTGAACTCCAGATGCATCAGCAGCGGCATGAGTTCATAGACAAAGCCGTGACGTCACACTGTGTAGCAGAAATGTATGATATATATGAGACTTTGTCTGTAGCATCCAGAGATAAGATGACAAGTAAGGACAAGAGACCAATACCATCCACCATTGTCTTCACACATGACACAGATAAACTGAGGAGATCTGTAGCTGTGGTGCAGCTTGGGGAGGTCAAGGTTTATGGAGGTCTGTATGACCGGACGTCTTCTCCTGTTCTCCTGCAAACAATAGACTGTAGCAGACAGGGAGACATAGGGCCTTCTGCAAGGGTTTGTTTTGATGTTGCAGTATTAGTTGTTCATGATATCAAGGTAACTGTTGTGACAGGTAATGGTAGTAGTAGACTTAATGCATGTTATACTTCAAACACAACACTCATCCAGAATTGTCTCCAGCTTCCTACTTGTCCAAGACGACTGGCTAAGGTGGGCGGAGCTCGGGCAGCTGTTACTCTGCCAGACACAAAACAAATAGCTTTCATCAACTTTGACCCTGAGCCTTCATTACTCTCAACTGTGAAGACAAAGAGGGAGTATTATGGGTTAGCCTGTCTGAACTATTCACAACTGGTAGCAGGTGGTGACGACAGTCGTGCCTCTGTTGACGTGCTGGATATGAAAGGGAATGTACTTAAATCTATCAACACAGGTGTGATAAAGAACCCATTCTATATTCATGTCACCAGAAATAACAACTTGTTATTCAGTGATGCTGCAGTAAAATCCCTCGTATCTGCGACCTGTGATGGTGAAGTTGTTTTCACCTACACCCCTACACAACCAGCACAGGAGACATCCTGCTTGTAGACAGAGCCGCAAACAGGATGATTCAGCTGACAGAGTCGGGGCAGTTTGTCAGAGATGTTCTCACACACCATGATGGCCTTGAGCGTCCTCGTGGTATCTGTCTGGATGATGATGGCTTGCTTTACGTTACCGGCCTCTATTCTGTGAAAATATTCACCTTTTGAAGGGATTGACTGAAATAGATAGACATTACTCTGTCATGTAGAAGCTAGCTGTGAGCCACACATAAGCTGTATATAAGACCTAATTGATTGCAAATAGCCAAACTGGTTGTAAAACTGTGCTGAATGAACCGGACATGGTAATGTATTACTTTTGGGGACAACGACTGTTGTGTTTGACTTGCGTTTAGATGGGTTGAGTGGTGGACAGGTACATTTGCAGCTGATGGTTTCAACATCGCTTCACCCGATCGATCTCTCCTCGACAGGACCGCATCCGTGGTCTAGTGGTAGAGTGTCCGCCCGGAGAGCGGACGGTCCGGGGTTCGATCCTCGGCCGCGTTATACCAAACGACGTCAAAAGATAGTACTTCTTATTACCCTGTCTTGCGCTCGACATTAAGAGGCTAAATAAACAAAAAGGACCGATTGGCTCTGAGTCAGTATACTTTGTCTGAGTGGGGTATTCATGTTAAACTGCAGCATGGCATCTCAGTGAGCTAGCACTATATATCGGCATCAGTCCGGACTAGTACAAGCAGACACACACATGTGTGCATGCATGTCGCTATATTGCAATAATCTTGGACGCGACGTTAAACCCAATTTCACCTCACCTTACTCCTGCGATAGTTATTCAATCTGTCCAGAGGTTCGCATTTGGAAGACAAAATCACAAATGAAAGTGATGAAATGGTTGTAATGATGGCGTCAAATATGTCGTATTGAAGAATTGAGAGCAATAAGCGTCAAAGCGGTATACTTTCTAACAGAGACGAATAGTTATATTTACACTGTGACCTCGGAAAAGAGGGTTGTCTTTTAATATTGTCTGATAAACATATATGTATGTCCAAGAGCGTGAGTATAACGTCATTACATACACTACACAGGAAACTCTATTGCGTTTATTACTAAAAACAGAATGAGGGGCAGTATCGTGTTCCCTTGTTTATCAGGAAATATTACAAAAGAAGGGATCGATTGGCAAAAATGTCGGACTACCAATAGAAAATCCGTCTCGATCGCGGTCAAGAATAGCTCTACTCTGATTCTTTCAAGTTAAACGTTTTGTCACTCGTCGTAGAATCCAAGAGGTAAATATTCATCCACTGTGATTATTAAAAACATTATGTCTCGATTTATCACCAAATGTTGGTAAGGTTTTTATAGATTGAATTAAGGGTGTATAAATATTATTCGCATTGATTATCTGTCAAAAGCCCAGCTAATTAATTATCAACGGAAATACTTTACGTATAGACATTGCGAAACATAAAGTGAAATAACTTTGGTGTACCCTTAGCTGAGACGAATAATAGTCAGAGGGACAAAACAAGATATACCGATCGGGTTTTTTTGTAATTGAAAATGTAAAAAACTGTTGTTAATTTTGATCATTTCTATTTAACCATCACTCATTCCTGCAAAAGTGTGTAAAACGTCATCTGTGTCTGGGTAGATTTGTGTAAACAAATTCAGTGAAGACTGACGCAAGAAATGAATTTGCAGCAACATGGCCCCTACCATGTTTGAAATGTTGTAAACAAATTTATTGTTTTTCAAAGATGAGATGTCCGAGATACTCATAACCTCTTGTGTATTATGCGATTTCTTTTTTTGAATTTTTAATTTTATTTTAAAAGTTTTAAATCAAATTATATCTAACACCAAAAACATGTAGAAGTATATACTAGGGTTCTATTGCTCCTCAGTTTAGATGTCATCTGCATGTATCGCACCAACTACAAGTTGTTAGAAATTTCCTTAAATGCCAGTACTTAGTTCAAATAGAAATTTATCAACATTTACATTAATTTCGAATGACATGGCCATGAACTTTGATGTTTGCATTTGTAACTGTCGGTATAAATGACAATTAATCAATCAATTTAGAGACATGTGAGTATGATGAAACTGCTTGTAAATAAACAAACTATTTATTAGTAATTTAAAATGTTTAATAAGTTTTTTCAACCCTGTATTTCTTTCCTAGTTGAAATGTCTGACATGTAAGTTTAGAGATTTATGGCGACGTCTGTGTTTATTTGGATCAGTTAGACTCGTCGAGATATATGTCTGCATTCGATTAACAACATCCACGTATTTGTCCTTTTCATGTGTTTAGTTTACTCATGTAACACTTGATCTATTCCCGTGTGGTTACTGACTACCACTGCAAACAGGAAGACGTCGTTTGTGGTGGTCATTGGACGAAATATGAATATCAATTCAATATAAATAAGCGTCTACAAATGCATTTTTTATTAGTCATGCTGTGGGTGCGTATGTTATGTTTCTGTCATTTAGCGGATGAGATTACTGTTCCTGTTAAGGAACAGAGTTAGTTGGTTTTGATGCCTCGTTAAACATTATGTCAGTTATATCATGGTGAGTCAGTTTGATGTGGGAGGAAAGCACGAAATGAGGCAGGAGCACGGATATGGTGCTGACAAACTAAGACAAATTGTCAGGGCGAACCGGGATTCAGGATGTGGGCTGCATAAGGGACGTAACTATGGAAGAACTAGTAAATGTGTTGGTGTTGACATGACAAATATGACGGAGTTTAAAAGTGGTTATTGCAAATAAAAACGAAGTTTGTTTGTTCTATTTTTACCAGCTGTCTTCCACCTTCCTAAGCATATTTTATGCGACACACACACTTTCATGATGTACCCGATTGTATTCAGCTGTAACCATAGCGGCACTGTGATTGTCTAGTCAGCAGTAACAGCTATTATGTCGGGGTCGGTGTCATTCAGTGTGAAAGTGTTTACGAGTTGAGGTCAGGAGAAATTGGGTTCAACGTCGCGTTCAAGATTATTGCACTTATATTGCAAATGCGTGTGTGTGTGTGTGTGTGTTTGTGTGTGTGTGTGTGTGTGTGTGTGTGTGTGTGTGTATGTCTCTCTCTGTGTCTCTCTCTGTGTGTCTCTCTCTCTCTCTGCGTGGTTGTGACTGCTTGTAATAGTCTGGCCGAGTTGATAGTGCTAACCCTCTGAGATACCATGCCGCAGTTTAACATGAATACCTCACTCAGACACAGCATACTGACTCCGAGGCAACCAGTCCTTGTTTTAGCCCCTTAATGCCGAGCGCCAGATAGGGTTACAACAAGTACCATTTTCTGACGTCCTTTGGTATGACGCAGCCGGCCGTACCCCGAGCCTTCCGCTAGATCATGGAGGCGGTCAAGACTGGTTACGAACAGTGGAATGATCATTATCATTATGAATTGGTTTTGTCGTTTTATTTACAAAGGGTTAATGAAGTGTTTACAAATGATACCTTGTCTATTTCTACACACTACTTTGATATATAACAGCTGACAAAAGACGTCGCTGCTTAAGGTGTAGCGTCCTCATTCATGTCGGATACCTACACAGGTATATTGTGTGGGGAGAAACTATGTGCTGAAGGAGTATAATGGACGTTTACCTTGATCGCTGAACTTATGTGTTCCCTGTCATTCTGGAAACAAATAATTGGCTTAGATTATTTTGGTATCATGTGGGTATTAACCTTGAATACTTGTTTGCATATTGTAACAGAAAATGTCATAACCTCTCTGGCCAATATACACATGGTCACGATAAAACTGATTTCGTGTAACAATGCATCTTTATTATATTAAACAGTTATGCATTTGTAATTTGCATCCGTTTACATAATTTCAAGGTAAGGCGTTATACTAGGTAGAAACCGTTGGCATGGTTACAGAACACAAAAATTGCCCGCCCACTGGGTGATAGTAATCTAAATTAGAAAGACATGTTTGTTAAATGATATATTCAATATATTGAATGCCGATTCTTGGCCAGATTTAATAAACAAAACGGTATATATTTTATAATGGGGAATTTAGTGGTTTTCAAGAAAAGTTCACTGTTCCCTTCCATTTAATGTATCTCTGTTATCAAAGAGTGAGTGTGGTTTTACGCCGTTTTTAGCAATATTCCAGCAAGGTCACGGCTCGGGACAACATAAATGGGCTAAACACAGTGTACCAATGTGGGGAATCGAACCCGGGAACCACTACATATATAAAATGACGACCAAAAGAAACACTGTGATTGGCCAATCACAAATGAAGTATTTATGCAATCGAAAAGTGGCTATGAAGACATATGTTTCAATGTGAGTTGGCACTTGATGATTTCTCAATTTGCCTGTGTGAATGTCGGAATGCTATACAAAGTGTGCCTAATGTCAGAGTACTTCTCTGAGAATATTAACAGAATAGTTGGAAAACTACCCTCACAGTCAATATCAGAAGTTCAGGGGTCTTATACAGAACTTGGGGGAGAGGGATTCAGTTCTGAATTTTGACAGTCTCGTGGACTTTGTGAAGAAAGAGACCAGAAAAGCGCATGACTCCATGTTTGGACAAGAAGCTCTCAGAAAAGAGGAGAACACGGGAAAATGCGTACCAGACTAAGTTTACCTTTGCTGCTAATTAGGTTAATACACTTGAAACAGGGGATCAGACAGAGTGGCAGGTAGGGTTTTTACCTCTATTATACCAGATCATTTCGAACACCTTGTTTGTATTTGTGATCCCATGTGCATAGTGACAAATGTCTTCTGACTTGGAGCATTATGAGAAGGTTTAATTTCTACAGTTTTCTTGTTGTTAGAATTGACATTTTCTCTGCTAAGAACAACACAACAGCTTATTTATTCTGTTTATTTCAACGAATATATTTATAAAGTGATTCATTGCAAATATAACTTGAATGATTCATGATTTACTGTACTGTGTACTGTGTATTTTATATATTATAGTATTTGAACATGGCGCACAGTACTTCACATATGACGTTGTATTGGGAGCATTGTATTTGTTATTCCAATAGTGTTTCGTCACAATACACTCTCACAACATGATATATCTGCTGACAGCTCACAATAGATCTGAGAAACCGTGTCACAGTGTACGAGTATCGCGTGTCATGTGATCACATTCATTCTCCCCGATGGCTTGAACATGTCACGTGATCATCAGTGTGGCTAAGGCAACAACCAGGAAGTGAAAAACAGTCTACCCCGGGTGCTCGTCCAAGTTGCGGTATCTGTAAAGGTAACACAATATATGTATGTTTAAATGTAACTGGAATAAGTTGTTTTCGAATTTGCACACAGACTCGTGTTAAAACCACTCATATATTTGAAATATAATCGACATCAAGGTAAATTGAACTTCAATAACGAAAGCAGCTTGAACATTCCTCGAGTCCTGACTTGCAGGTTGAAATAAGTGTAACATGTTAACATATGTTGAATGTACAGTTAGGTGTCTTCAAAACGACGTTACCATATGTCGCACGTGTTTGTTTCAAGAATCCAAGCGTGAACACAGTTATGCAGTGGTGGCAGTGTTTATACTGGCGTCGCAAATTTGTATATGAATATTCGAGTTATGCCCCTTTATCAGAAGACCATTGTACTGGACACAGGACCCGTAGCTGAACATGGAATCAAAATGGTGTGTGTATATATGCGTGTGTGAGTGTATGTGTGTATGAATGTGTGTGTGTGTTTGTATATGTGTGTATCTGTGTGTATCTTTGTGTGTATCTGTGTGTGTATGTATGTATGTATGTATGTATGTATGTATGTATGTATGTATGTATGTATGTATGTATGTCTGTGTGTGTGTATGTGTAAGTATGCATGTATGTGTGTGTGTGTGTTTTATTATGATCACTGCAAGCAATAAAACTTAAGCCATGGAGTGTCATGAGTATCAATGTCACAGTCATCAAATGTATGGGAAATAAACTCGTACTGAAGACATAGCTAAGTCTGACGATTTCTTTCCCTCAGAAATGGCCACCGCAAAGAAATTGACGGACAACCATCTGAGCTGTGTCATCTGTACAGGGGTGTTCACAGACCCTGCCACACTTCAGTGTAATCACACTTTCTGTAAGTCCTGTCTTCTGAAATACACCAAAACACAGCCTGAAGCAATTCAAGCCAAGTCTATTCCATGTCCCTCCTGTAGACAACTGACAAAGGTGGCCAACCCTGACAGTCCAGTAGTGGAGTGGGTCAGTCAGCTGAAACCAAGTCATGTGATACAGGGGCTGATGGACGACTTTGGGGAATCGTCAGGTAGGGAAATTTAAAACGTTTTCATGTCTTGCACACCAAGGTATTGGAAATGCAGTTTTATATTTATTAAAGTGAGCAGGATTGAGTTCGAAGTGAGCTGGTTTATATTGACATTTAAACATCTGGCAACTATGGCGCGTGTGCATTCAAAATTTGTATTCAAAGTTGTAGTATGTGGTTGTGTTTTCTAGAAATGGCATCATTTGTGACACGCTGTGCTTTATGTTTAGATACCTGTAGCGTGTGCAAAGAAGATGGGGAGACAACTCCAGGCACTGTGTGGTGCACCATTTGTGACGATGTCTTTTGTGATGGATGTCTCAAGTTACACAAGAAGATGCCGCTGTCACGTGACCATGAAGTGATTGACTTACGTATCCATAGTAACAGGAAACCAAAGGTACAGCGCTTTATGTGCAGAATTCACAAAGATGAAAAGATAAAACTGTTTTGTAAAGATTGCAGGATGGCAATTTGTACTGTATGCTGCAGTATCAAACACAGGAAGTGTGATGATGTTGAAACCATAGATACAATGACGTCTCTTGTAAAAGAAAGTCTGATAACTGAAACTAGAAACCAAGAGAAAAAAATTGAAACTTACACTGATAATATTTCTTCAACAAATTCGAAAATTGAAAAGCTATCGACGAACGCACAGGAGATGAAAGACCAAGTTCAGAAAGTACGCATGGCAGCTGTAGATGTTCTTCTGAGAAAAGAAAAGAAACTGCTGGACCGTATCGACCAACTCACTGAGACACGTGTAGAAGAATTGAAAGGCTACATAATGTCCCAGGAGATTGACCTCCAGATACATCAGCAGCGGCATGGGTTCATAGACAAAGCCGTGACGTCACACTGTGTAGCAGACATGTATGATATATATGAGACTATGACCGTAGCACCCAGAGATAAGGACACAAGTGAGGACAAGAGACCAATACCATCCACCATTGTCTTCACACATGACACAGATAAACTGAGGAGATCTGTAGATGAGGTGCAGCTGGGGGAGGTCAAGGTTGTCCAAGGCGACTTGCTAAGGTGGGCGAAGCTCATGCAGCTCTGCCAGACACACTACAAATAGCTTTCATCAACTTTAACCCTGAACCTTCTTACTGTAACATGTGAAAGTATCCGCCTTTGTGAAGGATTGACTGAAATAGAGCCACACATACGCTGTATACAAGACCTAACTGATTGCAAATCTCCAAACTGCTTGTAAATCTGTGCTGAATGAACCGGACATGGGAGTGAAATACTTTTGGGGACAACGACTGTGTGTTTCACGTGTGTTTTTAGATGGGTTGAGAACACACAGGGAGTGGTGGACAGGTACACTTGCATCTGATTGTTTCAACATCGCTTCACACGATCCCTACACATGACTCCTGCGATAGGACCGGTTCCGTGGTCTAGTGGTAGAGTGACCGCCCGGAGAGCGGAAGGTCCGGGATTCGATCCCCGGCCGCGTTATACCAAACGACGTTAAAAGATAGTACTTCTTGTTACCCTGCCTGGCGCTCGACATTAAGGGGCTAAATATACAACAAGGACTGATCGGCTCGGAGTCAGTATACTTTGTCTGAGTGGAGTATTCATGTTTAACTGCGGCATGGTATCTCAGTGAGCTATCACTATATATCGGCATCAGTCCGGACTATTACAAGCAGACACACACATACGTGCATGTACGTTGCTATATTGCCTGCGATAGTTATTCAATCTGTCCAGAGGTTCGCATTTGGAAGACAAAATCACACTTGAAAGTGATAAAATGGTTGTAATGATATGTTATTTTGAAGAATTGAGAGTAAAATGCGTCAACGCTGTACACTTTTGTGTACGCTTAGCTGGGATGAATAATAATCAGAGGGACAAAAGAAGGTATACCGATCGGTGGGTGTGGGTGTGGGTGTGGGTGGGTGTGTGTGTGTGCGGCTGCTTGTACTAGTCCGGACATATGACGATTTATAGTGCTAGCTCACTGAGATACCATGCCGCAGCGAGGAAAGCACGAAATGAGACTGGAGCACAGATATCGTGCTGACAAACCAAGACAACAAGAAATCTGGGCGAACCGGGATTCGGGATGTGGCCTGTATAAGGGACGTAACTATGGAAGAACTAGTAAATGTGTTGGTGTTGACTTGAGAAATATAGTTGAGTTTTAAAACTGATTATTCCATATAACAGCGTAGTTTCTTTGTTCCATAATTCCAGGCTATCTTCCTTCTTTCTAAGCAGAGCGCCAGGCAGGGCAACAATAAGTACATCTTTTGACGTCTTTTAGTATGACACATCCGGAGGTCGTACCCCGAACCTTCCTCTCTCCGGGCGGACACTGGCCACTAGACCACGGAGGCGGCCGAAAGTGTTTCCGAACAGTGGACTGATCATTATGATTATGAATTGGTTTAGTCGCATTTATTTACAGAGGGTTAATGAAGTGTTTACAAATGATGCCTAAACGCTATGTCTATTTCTACACACTACTTTGATATGTAACAGACGTCGCTGCTTGAGGTGTAGCGTCTTCATTCATGTCGGATACATACACAGGTATGTTGTGTGGGGAGAAACTATGTGCTGAAGGAGTATAATGGACGTTTACCTTGATCGCTGAATTTATTTGTTCCTTGTCATTCTGGAAACAAATAATTAGCTTTGATTCATAACCTCCATGGCCAATATACACATGGTGACGACAAAACTGATTTCGGTTTACAATGTATCTTTATTATTTGAAATTTGCACCCGTTTACATAATGTCAAAGTAGTGAGTGAGTGAGTATAGTTTTACGCCGATTTTAGCAATATTCCAGCAATATCACGGCGGGAGACACCAGAAATGGGCTTCACACATTGTAGCCATGTCGGGAATCGAACCCGGGTCTTCGGCGTGGCGAGCGAACACTATAACCACGTGGCTACCCGACCGCCCCTAACGTCAAAGTAAGGCGTAATACTAGGTAGAAACCGTTGTCATAATCTAGAAATATGTCAACATAATTTCATTCTCTGAACAAATTTACAAACAATATTTGGGATAAATCAAAGCTTAAAAATAGGTTACATGAAGTTGAACAAAAATATAAACATGACCTCGATGCACCGATCAACCGGATTTATATATGACGTCACATAAGTTTGTAAAGAGGTGCATTTCGAGTCGAACGGGAACATGAGGATGAAATTTATACTTTCTGCTGTTGAAAGTGACGTTTATGGAGTAGTTATGGAAAACACCGCGACCAGTAAACCCCGAGCAAATTGGGAATATCCCCGATTATGAATGTGTGGCTTGTGTTTGGATAATCGCAAACCGATTCGGACGATGCGGAATGGACTGGTGGGGATTGAACCGAGTGCTCTGAAACGTGTGTGTTTTGTGTTAATTCTCAACGTCAGGGTGTGTTATATTTGGAGTTTTGTCGTGTGTGCTGTAATACTTTGCTTAGCTGGTGTTTCTTGTCACCTGAGATGGACCTACTGTATGACCTGATGCCAGCTTCATTTCTGTGCCCCGTCACTCCTCATGTGCCGCCGCTTCTCGGCCGAGAACGCACGGAGAAGGTCGGCCAACTCAGAAACCGGAATAGTAGATTTCTAATTCCGTCTACAGATATTTTCTCATCTCCGATGACCAATCGATAAAACAGGTAGGCAAGTGTTTGTTTTTTTTAAATTTGAGTTCCTTTCCTTACCTTTTTTATGTTTTATGGTTTCTCAAAATCTTAGATCTTTTTCCACGATACGATAGTAAATCGGATTTTAGTTTGGGATTGATCAGGAGCAATCGCGTTTGCTCTGTGTCAGCGGCCACATCTGAGCAGGGAACGACATTGTTTTCATTTGTGCTAGATTTCTGCCTTTTCCGAAAACAAAGCATCAAAGTCAATATCGCTCAATAAATCAATTTCGTTCAGTAATTTTACAGAATTAATTTTCTTCACTTGCGTAATCAGTATTGAAAGATAGCCATTCCATATCCAAATCACCGCAAGGACAATCCATTTTGTTTCATCAAGCAGCTAGACGACATCAATCACCAGAACCAAAGCATTTCTTTATTTATAAGTCAAATGAAATGTTACAAGACCAGGCAAAAATACTAAATTAATTATATTGCTGATAAATACAGGTATTAAAAAGAAAATAGAAAAACGAGTTGATCGTAAACACCGAACGAGAATTCGGGGAACCCCCGGAAAGAACGAGGGCCATTCATTATATAACCAGCCTCACCTATTTGCTACTGCTCCTCACTTCTTCTTTTTCCAAATAATCACCATTGAGGTCTATGCACTTTGTCCAGCAATGTGTGAGAGCTAAAAGCCCGTTGTGATAGAAACCATGGGGTTGTTCGTGTAACCACCCCTCCACTGCTGTCGTGAGTTCATCCACGGACCGGAAATGACGTCCGCCAGTTCTTTCTCTAAGTTTGGGAAGAGAAAGTAGTCGCTTGGTGCCAGGTCTGGTGAGTAAGGTGGATCAGGCAATACTTTGAACCCCTTCGCTTCACTGCGGCAACCGCAAGTCGACAGGTGTGCACTCTGGCATTATCATGTTGGAGCAGCACACCTTTTGTGATCTTTCCACGACGTTTGGCAAGAATAACAGTCCGCAAACGGTCCAGGAGATCGGAGTAGTACTCTCCATAAAGTTGTCTGCATCCCGACTGCATTGCGTCAAACGTGCCTGACACATTGACGCTTCTGATCATCACTCGGACATTTCGGGACCCATCGGGCAGACACCTTCCTCATACCCAGACGATCATGAAAAATTGTATGGACACTTCCTTCTGAAATGTCCAAGGCCTTGGCCATTTCTGACACCTTAATTCGCCTGTCTTTGACAACCAGTTGTCTCACAGCTTCATTGGTTTGGTCATTGGTCACCTCTACAGACCTGCCAGGGCGTGGCTCATCTTCCAGGTTCACCCGACCCCTCTTAAAGTCTACAACCCAGAATTTGACCTGTGCATACGAAGGTGCACTGTCACCATAAACATCTGACAATTCATCATGTATCTCCTTTCCCGGTTTCCCTTTTAAGTAGAGGCACCTAATAACAGCCCTGTATTCAACCTTTGACGAAAATTTGGCAGAATCTACCCTTGCCATCTTTATAGATCACGTGTGTGACTTCAAATACAATTTCCTCAGTGAAACTTTGTCTATGCACGTGACATACATTGGTGCACAGCACGTGACAAACATGCAACCGTTAAGATCTGATAAATAGCTCAGGCTGGTTATATATTGAATGGCCCTCGTAGTTCCGGCAAAAGTTCACACGATCAATTTCACACAAAAATGTTCACATCGTGTCAATTTTTTTGTCCTTTCACAGATTTGTGAACTCCAAATATCAGATCACGTGACTACCCCTTCAGCCAGTCAGCATGAAAGAAACAGTGTAAACTTCAAAGTATGAAATTATAATATATTGAATGCCGATTCTTTGCCAGATTTAATTAACAAAACGGTATATATTGGGGAATTTAGTTTTCAAGAAAAGTTCATTGTTCCCCTCCATTTAATGTATCTCTGGTATCAAAGACTGAGTGTGGTTTTACGGCGTTTTTAGCAATATTCCAGCAATGTCACGGGTAGGGACAACAGAAATGGGCTAAACACAGTGTACCAATTTGGGGGATCAAACCCGGGAACCACTACATATATAAAATGACGAACAAAAGAAACCAAGTATCATCTAAAATGGCAAGAAAATGAAGCAAAACACGTATGGTAACAATGTACAGTATATTTGAACAATAATCTAAATATTGTGTGAGAACGTGATAAAGAAAACAACCAAGATGACGTTACATACAGAAACGTCCAAGGCATGTAAACAACTGAGGGGTCATAAAGTGAATTTACATGTGAAATAATCTAGCGAGTTCATTAATCCAAGAGTGGATAGGCAAACATCCACCGTCTCATTGCCGACATTTGTCATTTTGGATCTGGCTTCTATTTACCACTGGGACTCGTTCAAGCTCAATCATAGCTGTGGGATGCTGGAGCTATTCTCTGACCTGCCTGTCAAAGGGGTCCAAGTGGTGTTCAATTGTCGATGGATCCGGTGAGTGGGCTGGCCAAGGCAAAACCGGTCAGGATCCAAGATCGTGATTACCAGGAATCTTGCGTCAGAAGGGCAGTATGGTCTTAGCATGATATTGCTGGAACAAACACCCTGAAACTGCTGGCGGAGAAGGGGGGTGAGAACAGGTTGAAGGATTTCATCCATGTAGCTCTGGGCATTTAAGTTTCCATGGATAACAAGACATGTTTTCATATCACTGCATATCTCCCCAGACCATAATGCTTCCCCTACTAAAGGACTGTTCCTCCTGGACGCATCCTGTAGCTGATCTCTCTCCTCTTCGTCGGTACGCCCGGATTCTTCCATCTGCATTGAACAGGTGGATCTAACTCATCATTGACGAGCATCCTCTGCCAATCACGTCGCTGCCATCGACTGGGTCGGGGTCATGCCACCGTAAGGTAGGCCCGAATCCCAGCAGCACGTTGTCTTCTTGTCACAGTGTATTGGCTGATGCTGCGGCCTAAAACTCACCGTCAGGAAACGGTTGCGAAGATACAAAGGTCACAGATAGCGGTCATCTCGGGGGATCATGACACATGGTCTAACCACTCCTTGGCCTGTCCCTGGTGTGTCCTCTCTGGTTGTACCGGTGCATTGTTGTACCTGGCACCGTCATCGGATGTTGGCCCTGTGAAGCGCCCATATTCGCCATACCAATATCTCTCGGCATTTGCGTCTCTTCGGGACCGATATATTGCTATGTTGATGTTACACTATGTACTTCCTTTAAGATATTCCCTGAAAACAGTTTGTTTACACATTTAGAATTGGTGATCAGGTTTATGCATCATGTGGTTGAACACGAGTGGAAGTTGTTCAAGTATCCGGTCTATCTTGCTCTTTTTAGAAAATTAATAATTTTACTGTATCCTCTTGTCAATAAAGTGGTTCCTTCATACTACTGGTGACTTACAAGTTAATTGAACTTAGCATACCCACTCAGTACTCATTTCCTGTATCGCGAGATGCTGATCACTCTACCATTTACATCTGTTGACAGAGAAACTCGAGTGAGTGAGTGAGTGAGTGAGTGAGTGAGTTTGGTTTAACGCCACTTATAACAGTATTACAGTTATATTGCGGCGTGTCAGCTTAATGTGGGAGGAAAGCCCAAAGTGATGCAGGTCTCAGACGTTTACCACTTCGGTGAAACCCACGAGCACGGGTATGGTGCTGACAAAACTAGAAACATAATCGGGACGAACCGGTATTCGAACCCACAATCATAGGTTTCTGGCGTGCCCAAGGGACGCAACTCTGCACAGCGAATCGCGGCGCCTTAGACGACTGGGCCACCCGTGCCCCCAGAAACTCGAGTGAGTGAGTGAGTGAGTTATGGGGTTTACAATAAAGATATTGCGGCTATATCATAGCAACAACAACAAAATCAAATAATAATCCATTTGTATGCAGTTTGGCCACCCCCAGACCACCCCATCCCAACCCCTTCCAACCAACCCCTTCCTCTGGATCATCCACATAATCTACACCTTTCGTCTGTTTTACTTTAAAGGACCCCTATTAAAGTATCTACCATTTTATATTATTGTTTTACTTTCTATCTGGGCTCACATGACATCATTTGTGTCAACTTTCGCATTTATTGTCCTATATTTAACTGTCGTTTACACTCCTACATTTAACATTTTAGCATCTGTGCATTGTCTATCGTTTAGTTGTTCCTAAGGCGGAGATGTTCATTAAAGATTTATGTTTATTTTGTCACTTGTTTGACATACATTTCAATTACAGGTTATAATAGTGAGTGAGTGAGTTAAAGTTTAACGTCACATCGGCAATATTTCAGCCATATTGTGACGAGGTCACAGCAATAAATCTTTGTGGAATTTCAATATAAATAATCTACCGTAGTTTGACAACGCTATTGACAGGTCTTAACTGATAACGTCAGGTTACATGTGTCACGTGATCACATACCTCTTCCCCTTTAGAAACTCCGTGTGGCGTGATCATGATCAGTGTTGGGTGGCCTCAACCAGGAAGTGAGTCCCTGTATACCCCGTGTGCTCATCAATGTTGCCGTATCTGTAAAGGTAAAACGCGAGATCACTGTCGAAAAATATCTTAAATATTTTTATTTCGCATTCAATCTACACTGAATCGTGTTGAGAATTTCATAGATAGATAGTCCACATCAAGGCAAATTGCACTTCATAAGCCGTGACTTGAATGTTAAAGTAAGTGTGACATGTGAAATATATTAAACTGCAGGGCAAGCATGCACTAATGTTTGATGACGGCTAAACGGGAAACAAACAAGAAAGAATTATTCGATGGTGATTTGTTTGATACGGGTGTCACAGTTGTGTTTTCGACCTTAAGTTTGCAGTGTTTAGTCGTCTGTTTTCAGCCTATTAACATTCCGATAATCCATTGTTTTTCATATGTAAATTTTCTTTTGCCTGGCCGTTTATCAGGTCTTGTCAAAACATATAAACAACATTGTTGTAGGTTTGGCATTGTTGTGTACCCTAAAACCACTTGAACAGAGATACAATGTATGCAGTGGCGGTGCATATAGTGTTATTACTGGGGTCGCGGACTAAGCATATCAAGATTAGAGTTATGTCCCTTTATTTGTTCCACATAACATCACATAGGACACAAGAACTCGTTTAAATGTAAAATGCTCTACGTATAAGCATGTCTGAAAATGTTCTTTGAAAATATAATCAGGTGCTTTCTTTCAGTTGATATATATTAAATCCAGCATTTCAGCGACACAATTATTTAGTACCAATGACAGCAAGAGGCAATGATATATTGCACAAAATACACTGATATATTGTAACTGACGTATTGTGTTCTGCAAGAGACAAAAATAAAACAGTGTTTTTTTAAGTATTCACAAGTATAACTTAACTCAGAGAGAGACAGATAGATAGTCAGACAGACAGACAGACGCTTTAAGCAGCATGCAAAATTAGATTGGGTTGTAAATACAGACGAGGAACAGTGTCACTCACTGAGGTAAGGTCACACGTTGACAACATGATTTGATGTTCTTTTGGTATGATCACAGTAAGCATAAAACTTTAAACATGGTGGTTCCTGAGTATCAAAAGTCAGAATTAACAGATACTTAAGTAGAGCATAGAAAAGAGAATAAATAAGGGTTTATTTTCTCATCAACAAAGTTTAATGTGACAAACTCGTATTGAAACCAAAACTTAATCATATGATGTCTTTTCATTAGAAATTGCCACCGCTAAGAAGTTAACAGACAACCACCTGACCTGTGTTTTTGTCCGCAGAGATGTTCAATAATCCATCCTACCACATACATTCTGTAAGGCCTCTGAGGAGCAATTCAAACCAAGTCCGTCCCATGTCCCCCCTGTGGACATCTGACGAAGGTTAACATCCCTGACAGTCCAGTAGAGGAGTGGATGAGCCAGCTCAAACCACGCCGAGTAATACAGGGGCTGATGGACATTTTAGAGGCATCGCCAGGTAGGAAATAATGAAACGGTTTAATGTCCTGTCACTGATATAAAATGCAGTTTTCTATATAAGTGTTGGATTGAATAATCTTGTAACTATACATAGTATATATACAAAATGAATGTCTAATAGTAATAGTAAGTGAGTATGTTTTCTGGCAATTGCATTATTTGTAAGACTCCGTGCTTTCTGTTCAGATCTTGAGGCTTGTAGCGTGTGCAAAGAAGATGGGGAGACAACTCCAGGAACAATGTACTGCACCATTTGTGACGATGTCTTCTGTGATGGATGTCTCAAGATGCACAAGAAGATGCCGCTGTTACGTGATCATGAAGTGATCGATGTACGTACTCATAGTAACAGGAAACCAAAGGCATCAAGCTTTATGTGCCGAATTCACAAAGACGAAAAAGTAAAACTGTTTTGTAAAGATTGCAGGATGGCAATTTGTACTGTATGCTGCAGTATCAAACATAGGAAGTGTGATGATGTTGAAACCATAGATGTCATGACGCCTCTTGTAAAGAAAACTCTGATCAATGAAACTAGGACGCAAAAGAATAAAATTAAATCTTACAATGATGTAATTTCATCAACAAACTCTGAAATTGAAAAGCTATCGAAGAACGCACAAGTGATGAAAGACCAAGTTCAGAAAGTATGCATGGCTGCTACAGATGTTCTTCTGAGAAAAGAAAAGGAATTGCTGGAGCGCATCGACAAACTAACAGAAAAACGTGTAGAAGAACTGAAAGCCTTCAGAAAGTCCCAGGAGATCGACCTCCAGCTGCATCAGCAGCGGCATGAGTTCACAAACAAAGCCGTAGAGGGAAACTGTGTAGAAGACATGTATGGTATGTATGGGTCTGTGGGTGTATCCAGAATTGAAGACACAAGTGAGGACAAGACACCAATAACTTCCAGTATTATCTTCACACATGACACAGACAAGCTATTGAGATATGTAGCTGAGGTGCAGCTGGGGGAGGTCAGGGTTGTTCAGGGCCTGAGTGACCGGACGTCTTCTCCTGTTCTCCTGCAAACACTAGACTGTAGCAGACAGGGATACACAGACTGTGACTTGAGTGACGTTTCAGTAATGACTGTTGATGGTATCAAGGTAACTACGGTGTTAGATTATGATAGACTTAGTGTATTTTATACTTCAAACAAACTATCCTTTAAAAAATGTCTCCAGCTACCTTCTGCTCTAATTCAAATAGCTAAGCTGGATGGAGCTCAGGCAGCTGTTACTCTGCCAGACACACGACAAATAGCTTTCATCAAGTTTGACCCAGAACCTACATTACTGTCAACTGTGAAAACAAAGACGGAATATTATGGGTTAGCCTGCCTGAACTCTTCACAACTTCTGGCAGGTGGTATTGAGAGTCGTGCCTCTGTTGACATACTGGATAGGAAAGGGAATGTTCTGAAATCCATCAAAACAGGTGTTATAATGAACCCTTTATATATTCATGTCATGAGGAATAACAATGTGGTAGTAAGTGAAGGAGAAGTAAAGTCATTGGTATCTGTGACAAGGGATGGCAAAACTGTTTTCACATACACTCCCACAGGAATAAGAGCTCTGACATGGCCTCGAGGTATCACAACAACCAAGAAAGGAGACATCCTGCTTGTAGACAATGGCTCCAACAAGGTGATTCAGCTGACAGAGTCGGGAAAGTTTGTCAGAGATATTCTCACAGCACGGGATGGTCTATTTTGTCCTGGTGGCATCTGTCTGGATGATGACGGCTTGCTGTATGTCAGCTGCTCTGAATCCGTGAAAGTATTTACCTTTGAATAAAGTATAAATATATAAAGCACTTTAGTATAATATTGATTAATGGAAGGTGTAAATTACTGTAATGTATAACTTGCTTTTGAACCATACTGACCTTATGAATGACGTGAGAAATAGCCGAAGAGCTCCAAGAAACCACAGGTAACAGTTTGTTAAATGAAAGGGATAGTTTAACAACGCATCCAGAGAGAACTCCAAACAAGCAGTCATTGTCAGCCTTCATTCACCACCACATGGACGGTGACGTTGATGTGAAAATGTGTCACAGACGTAAATGTAAATTGAGGACCGTCAGATAATATTCGTTGCTTTAAGACACAGATTCAGTTCATAATTAAATGAATGTTGAGTTTAGGACAATCCCTTGCAGGTGATTAAGTGGTGAAAAGTTGGCAATCGTGTTTGCAAGCTACAGGATGAAAACGTCATCGGACAGTGTTTAACATCAAGATAACTGCAGATGACAAACATTTAATGTGCGGTCAGCAAGTGATTCAAGCTATATGATGGCTCTCCTTGGTATAAAGATCATGTGTATCGATCCATGGAGTTTGGAACCATGAGAAGCGGTCCAACAAGTCACCGAGCCTGACCACCCGATCCAATATGTCGCTTCTCACAACAATCATAGGTTGGTGGGGATGAATTCTTACCCAAAAATGCCTACGTTGAAGAACTTAGTGGGTACGGCTTCGTGTGCATTAGCGAATCGGGGTGATTCTCGATTTTACAAATTGCTGAGTCAAACCAGCAGTGTAGCATAGACAGTGAAACCTGGTGGATTAGTATGGATGGCACCACCTACAGCCACAGGACAGACCTCATCCGTTGTATGGCAAGGGGTTCTTTATCGTACCTGGGTACTGCCTTAGCCAACTAAAAGTTCGGATCTCAGCTTCATGGATCATATGTAGGATGAATTTGAACGTCGTGCCCACCACAACCCCGCAGCACCTCATATACTAGATGCATAGGATTAGTCGTTGGTTTGAATTCAACCAGGCCCACGCACAACTGGTGTACCAGTGGTTGCTTTAAGGAATGGGAGCATGCTGGTGCTGACTTGGCCAGCCGAGAATCCGGAACTCAGTGCTCAGGAACACGTAAGGGATAACATTCGTGTGAACCAACGTCCTATAGCACCTCAAAGTCTGGTGACTCCACTCATGTCACATCCTTGGTGTCACAAAGTCATAGCTGTTGAACATAAATCATTGCTATTATTTTGTCCTTAGGTCATGTGATGGTCTTATTATTCTCCGTATGGAAATATATATATATATATATATATATATATATATATATATATATATATAGCCAGTCAGTGAGTAGGTATAGCTGGTTAATTGCCTAATACAATTGCTATATATCGCTTATAAATTTGGCATTATAATATTAACATCCACTCTAGATCTTCCTCCACGATGTTCGGGCATGAAGTTGTAGTACCACTAACAGCATAAAGTCTCATTTAATTTCAGGATCCAAATTACAATCACAAATGGTGAAACTGTTATGTCTATGCTTGAAGCTATGTTAAATTAACTATATACATTGGTCTGAATACAATCCTGGAATCAGTAAATCATATATTGAACTTTGAGTACTGTTTATCTCTAATTGTGTTACATTTTTATAATTAAACGTCGTGATGATGTAAAAGTATTGTTGCGGGAAATTGTTGTAACCTCAGTCATCTAAATAAATATCAGTTGGAAATTAACGAGTGGTCCAGTTGTCAAAGGAGCCGTAATTCGCTGAACAGAGTTGCGTCCCTTGGGCACACCAGAAACCTATGATCGTTGATTCGGATCTCGATTTGTTTCGATTATGTTTCTTGGTTTGTCAGCACCAGGTACCCGTGCTCGTTGTTGTCAGCGAGTTAAACCCAGCTCACTCACTGATTCATCATTTATTTTAATATTGTTATACAGTTATGATATTGGGCCGTCTTTGCAAGTGTTTGGGGCCGTTTTGTCTTGAGTCCGTTTGTCGGACTGAGTTTTGGCGAACGAGACTTTTGCGCATTCCAACAGTGTTACAAGTAAGATCTCCTCGACAAATCAGAGAGAACTTTGAACTCGCAGTTCAACGACGGCGAAAGGGGACACTCTGAAGCCAGCAAATAAGAAACGGACCATCTGCAGTCGACACGTAAGACAATAGACAGGTTTGGTTTTCTAAATTTGCAGCACAAACATATTATGAAGTTATGGCACCACCTGTATATACATACACATTTATTCAGGTTCTGGGGGCACGGGTGGCCCAGTCGTTTAAGGCGCCGCGATTCGCTCTGCATATTTGTGTCCCTTGGGCGATCCAGAAACTTATGATTGTGGGTTCGAATCCCGGTTCGCCCCGATTATGTTTCTAGGTTTGTCAGCACCATACCCCTGCTCGTGGGTTTCACTGAGACCTGCATCACTTCGGGCTTTCCTCCAACATTAAGCTGACTAGGAATCAGGCCTAGCTGCGAAATCGTAAACTAGGTATTCGATCGATAATGTCCGACATCACTACTGCCACTGCTTACAGAGTGTATTGTCACAAATACATCGTATCGAGAAAGTAACGTTCTTATAGAGTATGATGCTAATTTGCACTGGATACTATAAGCTCAGCCGGAGCGAACACTGAAGAGGTGAAACTGGGTTTTACATCAGACCAGACCTTGTGTTATCCCCTGAATGCCGAGTGCCAGGTGATCGAACCACCCTACTCGGGCAGACGCTCCATCCTCTTGTCAACAGAGGCGGTTATTTGTACCTCACAACTTGTGAAATGAAGAAACCGATCATGTGTCATATCAAACATGGTCATCATTGTACAATGTTATCTTCACTGAGAGCTACTGCTTGTCACACAAAAGACCGACTTCCATTCCCCAAATGTGTGCTTTCTGTTATTGAAATAAACTAACAAGCAGTGAATAACATGGACAATGATGACACACAATCAGATTCAATGGGTCAAGTGATCACACCCACTCCCACACCCCTAAATAACTCCAAATAACCTCATGTAGATCAGTTTAGTTTACAACTATGTATAATTTCAATATAGATACAGCTATGCTGGGTGAGAACACTGTTGACAGATCCCAGCTGTTAACGTCAGATTTCATGCGTTACGTGATCACACAGACACACCCCAAACAACACCAAATAACCTCATATAGATATGTTTAGTTGTATAACTATGTATATATTCAATATAGATACAGTTATGCTGGATATGAACACTGTTGACAGATCCCAGCTGTTAACGCCAGATTTCATGCGTTACGTGAGCACACAGACACACCCCAAACAACACCAAATAACCTCATATAGAGATGTTTAGTTGTATAACTATGTATATATTCAATATAGATACCGTTATGCTGGATATGAACACTGTTGACAGATCCCAGCTGTTAACGTCAGATTTAATGCGTCAGGTGATCACACACCTCCTCCTCCTCGCACAGCAACTTTGTATCACGTGATCATCAGTGACAGGTGACCACAACCAGGAGGTCACTGTCTACCCAAGGGGTCACTGGCGGAAATAATCATCATTTGTGACATTGTCATCTACACTTGAAGCACGTGTTTAGTTATTCTTAAAAAGGCGATGTTCCTTAATATTAGAAGTTAATTAAAGATCAGTGTTTATTTGTCAATTATGTATTTAGTTCAACATAGGTTAAACATATACAGAGCTATGGTCACAAGTCCTGTCTAAACCGTGTTATGTAAAGTTTACAGTCTATGTATTTCAGGAGGAAACGGGTATTTTGCATGTGTTATAAAATGGAGCATTGCAAATAGAATTTGAATTTGACATGATTTATTGTACTGTGTAATGTGTAGTTCATACGGAGTGGGAAGTGTATTGTTTACAGTGCTGCAAACATTGGCATAGTGTTATCAGAGTTACGTCCCTTTATCAGTATTTCACCATGTCATATTGCATAACTCCAAGCAGTTACACTGCTGTTTAAAATGTAAATATTGTACATTGGTTTGTTTGTTTGTTTTTGTTGTTGTTTAACGTCGCGCCCAGCAATATTACGTCGGTTTATAAATAATCGAGTCTGGACCAGACAATTCAGCGATTGACATCATGAGCATCGATCTACGCAATTGGGATACGATGGCATCTAATTACTCGCCTCTTTCAAACAGCCTGCTGCTGGGGACCTATTTTAACTCAGAGTGTCCGCGGGTTAAGTGATGATTGTAAGATTCACATTCAAATGGTGATTTATCATCCAAAACTGGCTCCCACAGGAGATATCGCTTGGATGAGATCAAGCGATATCTACACTGAAGATATCGCTGCAATTTAATTGCATCACAATGCGTTGCAGACCATTGTGACTTCATTGGTTACCATGACATCACACTCAAATGACACCCTAATCTCTCTGCCACTATAACTGGTTAGCTCTACCGTTTAACCAAACACACTAAATATAACTGTTGACAGACTTGAAAAGACCAGAGGAAAGGATTGTTTGGTTTCTATGCATTGCATTCATAAGTTCAGTTTAACGGACACGACAGTGTCAGTTACGATTTACAGTTTCCTGCTTCACTCGCAGACAGATATATCAACACCTACCGTCGGTCTCACTTTAAAGGGCCCCCGTTACAGTTTGTCTATTACTTTACTCTCACGATCAGAATGACGTCAGGGCGTTAGGGCATGCAGTTAAGAACTCTGACGTTTGACATCCTGTACTTGCTGTAAATGTAATGCGACAGATCACTGTAAATTCATAGATTGCAAGGATATTCGATCACAGGAATGCAGTTAAGTACTCTGAGGTTTGACATCCTGTACTTGCAGTATTTGTAATACGACAGGTCACTGTAAATTCATAGATTGGAAGGATATTCGATCACAGTTAAGCACTCTGTCGTTGTCGAATGTATGCAAAAGACGTTGAGTTCAAGATTAAAGTGTCTAAATGAACGGAAACAGCGCTTCTGTTTTTATACATGCGAGGAATTTTCAGGATTTCCCCAGAAATGTAATAGCAATCTCAGCGTTTACATCATTTCAAAAACTCAAACTCATTTAAATATGTATGGGCGTCAAGATATATCAGATATATTATATGTGCTTATTTGCTTTGTATTTTTCTTCAGCATCCCATGCTTCCCGTGAAAGGTGACTATGCTTGTCGTAAGAGTCGACTAAAGAACGCGGGTAGTCGGGCTCGCTGACTTGGTTGATGCATGTCATCGTATCCCAATTACGTGGATCGATTCTCATGATGGAATATTGCTGGTGCGGCAAACAAACAAATAAACAAACATCAACAGTTGAAAGACATTATTCACATCCAGAGTAAATGAATGTCATCCCCATTGCGTCGATCGATGTTCATGATATTAATCACCTGTCCTTTCACCTTCAAATGTCACATTTATACTTACACAGGTGGTCTTTCAGGTACGTGTGTGTTTGTGTGTGAATGTGTGTGTGTGTAAGTGTGTGTAAGTGTCAGTGTCTGTCTGTGTGATTGTGCCTGTGAATGTGTGTGCGTGTGTCTGTGTATGCGTGAGTATCTGTGTGTATGTGTGTGTGTCTGTATGTATGCCTGTGTATTTGTGTGTGTTTAACGCAGCACTTAGCAATATTTCAGCTCCATGACGGCTTTGCAGGTAAGGGCTCATGTTTGTCGTTAGAGGCGTCTTGGTAGATCGGGTGGTCGCACTCAGTGATTTGGTGGGTAGCGCGTTACCGTTCCCCGTCGGCGTGGAACGTTGTTCACAATATCAATCACTGGGTAGTTTATACCAGTCCAGATTAAAAACAGGCCACCGTCATACAGCTGGAATATTGCTGACGAACAAACAAGCAAACAGTACACTTAGATACCAGTGTACGAATAAAAAGTATGTATTTAGTTTAACGTACACAGGTTGAAATTACAGATTTATAGTAATAAAGTGTCCATTATGAAGTTAGTGGGAATCTTATGTAAGAAAATTGCACATAGCTGATCAAATTTGAATTATACATAATATATTGTATTGTCTTGTGTGTATTTCATACATGGTATCTGAGCATTAACCACAGTGGATTTTACAGATTAGGTGTAGAGAAGCATTGTACTTGCCATTCCAATCATACTTCTTCAAACTAAACTCTCTCAATATGATATAACAGCTGACAGCTCACAGCTGCTCTGAGAAAGTATGTCACAGTGATGGAGTATCGCGTGTCACGTGATCGCATACATTAACGCCGAGCAGGTATAACCACGTGATCATCAGTGAAGCGTCAGCCAGGAAGTGAGACGTTGTTTACCTCGAGTGCTCGTCCATGTTGCAGTACCTGTAAAGGTAAAACACTTGGTCACTGTTGATCTATTACACACGACTCGTCTTAAAAGCACTCACAGATTTGAAGTATAGTCGACATCAAGGTAAATTGCAATTCGATAACGAAAGAAGCTTGAAAATTCAGTCTCAAATGTCCTGACTTGAAGGTTGAAACAAATGTGACATGTGAAATGAACTATTGGGTCTTCTAAGACAATGCAATCATAATGTTGTATATATCACGTATTTGTGACACCAAACAGTCATATCTGAACAGAGTAATGCAGTGGTGGTAGTGTTTATACTTATGTACCTATTATCCGTGAAGATCCGGGTTAGAAAATGTCTTCAGCAACTCATGCATGTCGTAGGAGGCGAATTTACTTGTCGCAAGAGGCGACAAACGGGATAGGGTTGTCAGGCTCGCTGACTTGGGTGATGCATGTCATCGTATCCCAATTGCGTAGATCGATGCTCATGATGTCAATCACTCGATTGTCTAGTCCAGACTCGATTATTTACAGTGTGTGTGTGTGTGTGTGTGTGTGTGTGTGTGTGTGTGTGTGTGTGTGTGTGTGTGTGTGTTATGCTTTTCAAATATGCAAAATACATGCTTGTGTCCAGTAAACTCAATGGAGTCACAGCCAAACACTTGTTTATAGCATGAATAAAACCCATGTCGCTGGTGAACGATGCCACACTCTCAATGAAGGTGACACATTGCAGCCCCCTCATTTAAATCATCTTGTGACAAGCATCGGATATTGGGGACCTGTCCTTGATCTGCCTTGGAATACCCTCAAACACCTGTGTCATTACTGATTGTAAGTGATCCATTCATAGAATGTATCACCGCTATTTTGCCTTTTATGTCCAATGGAAACTGGTCCGTCTTAACGCTTTATATTAATGTTTCCATTAGATATGGCCGTCGCTAAAAGGATAACAGACAACCATCTGACCTGTGTCATCTGTAGAGAGGTGTTCACAGACCCTGCATCACTTCAGTGCAATCACACATTCTGTAAGTCGTGTCTGCTGAAATACACCAAAACACAGCCAGGAGCAATACAAGCCAGATCCATTCCATGTCCCTCCTGCAGACAACTGACGAGGGTGGCCACTCCTGACAGATCAGTACATGAATGGGTCAATTGTCTGAAACCAAGCCACGTCATACAGGGCCTGATAGACGATTTGGTGGGATCGCAAGGTATTTAATTATAATACGCTTTAAGAAACGTTTAAGATTGCCCTGGTGTCATCACTGGTTCTCAGTGATCCTTTCATGTGTTGTTGACTGTTTATCTTTTGAGACCAATAGAATAGGCTTCGGCGAAAAATCGAGACATTTTATAATTATTATGTTCTGTCTCTTGAGTCTGGTGCTTACAAAATATATATTTATGTGGACGTGTTTGAATTGAATAAATAATCAGTAAATCGTGTTTTATGTTCAGATCTTGATGTCTGTGGTGTGTGCAAACGAGATGGGGACACAACTCCAGCCACCATGTTGTGCACCATTTGTGACGATGTTTTCTGTGATGGGTGTGTCATGAAGCACAATAGGGTGCCAAGGTTACGTGACCATAAAGTGATTGACTTACGGAATAGGAAACCAAAGGTTCCAAGCTCTATGTGCAGAATTCACAAGGACGAGAAGATAAAACTGTTTTGCAAAGATTGCAGGATGGCAATTTGTACTGTATGCTGCAGCATCAAACACAGGAAGTGTGATGATGTTGAAACCATTGATGCCATGACGCCTCTTGTAAAAGAAACTCGGATCAATCAAACAAGGAACCAATTGAGGGAGAGTAAAACTTACACTGATAAGATGTCATCAATACGATCGGATTTTGAAAGCATTCTGACCATCGAACTCCCCAAGCTGAGGAGATCTTTGGATGAGCTGAAGATCGGAATTGCTCGGCGTCCCCTGCAAACAATTGACTGCAGCAGGCAGGGACACACGTACGGTGCATTGAATGATGTTGCAGTTTTGACTGTTCATGGTATCAAGGTAACTGTTGTGACAGATAATTCAATCAGTAGACTTCATGCATGTTATACTTCAAACAAAACATTCATCCAGAAATGTCTCGATCTTCCCACTGGTCCAAGTCGAGTAGCTAAGGTGGGTGAAGCTTTGGCAGCTGTTACTCTGCCAGCCTCACGACAAATAGCTTTCATCAACTTTGACCCTGAGCCTTCATTACTCTCAACTGTGAAGACAAAGAAGATGTATTATGGGTTAGCCTGTCTGAACTCTTCACAACTGGTAGCAGGTGGTAACGACAGTCGTGCCTCTGTTGACGTGCTGGATATGAAAGGGAATGTTCTTAAATCTATCAACACAGGTGTGATAAAGAACCCCTTCTATATTCACGTTACGAGGAATAACAGCTTGTTGGTTAGTGAATGGACAGTAAAATCCCTGGTATCTGTGACCAGTGAAGGCAAAATTGTTTTCACCTACACTCCCACAGGAAACAAAGCTCTGAAATATCCCGGAGGTATCACATCAACCAGCACAGGCGACATCCTGCTTGTAGACAGTGGCTCCAACAGGGTAATTCAGCTGACAGAGTCGGGGCAGTTTGTCAGAGATGTTTTCAAACCACTGTATTGCCCTGAGTATCCTGTTGGCATCTGTCTGGATGATGATGGTCTGCTGTATGTTTCCAGCTATACGTACGTGAAAGTTTTCAGATTTGAATAGTATGTGAATAAACACACGGATAATATTTAACATTGATTAATTGAACATGGAAATTAATGTACTGCACAACTTGCTTGTGAACCATACCGACTGTATACTTCGTCAGGCAGTTATGACAAACGGCCACGAGAAACAACTGGTGGTACAGAAATTGTTATCAAGCAGTTGATCTTTGGAACAGATTTAATTTATCAATGCTTGATATCTTGCTTTTAACGAACATTACAGAAAGCTCGTCTACTCTCTTCGGCCAGAATGATCAACCGTTTGAGATTGAAGACACAGAGAAAGTTATGATAGAATTTATTGACACAAAACTATCTAAACAGTGGGAATGTGCAATGTATTCAATGTATTATATATATATATATATATATATATATGTGTGTGTGTGTGTGTGTGTGTGTGTGTGTGTGTGTGTGTGTGTGTGACTCATACGACACATGAAATTCAACATGATTTATCTGTTTGTATGACTGGACATGTTTTACAGAAATATTATCAAGTGCTATCTTTTTTTACAATGACAAACAATGATCATATATTGAATCCAACATTTGAACTACCAGTGTGTTAGTACAAATGACACCAGGACACAATGAACTACTGCACAAGATGAATTATCCTGATATAATTTAACTGACAAGATAGAATATTAAAACAGTGGGAACTTTACATTTTATGCATGCATGCATGTCTGTATGTAGGAATGTATGTATGTATGTATGTATGTATGTATGGAACATATGTTCCATATGGTATGTTTGTTAATTTGTTTTTTTAATTGTTATCAGCAATACTCCAACCTAACTAGCGTCCAAAAGAAACTGTACTATATTTTTAAATCACTAGCATCCGATATTGGCATGCCAGTTGCTAACTACCTATATGACACTTTATAGTGTCACAGATCGTGGTATTTAAAGCAAACACGTTGCTCAAAGTGAAGCAATATTTTCCCTCTACATTCTCAACATATTTATATCAAAAATATTTCGTCTGTCTTCGGCCCAACTTGGCCCGGGCTGTCAAAATCAACCTTAACCTCACAAATGTATCATAAAATGTGTTTACATCTATAGAATCGCATTATATCTACCTATGTCTACCTTTGTTGTTTTGAGTCCATCTCACTCTTGAAAATATAACAAAAGTCCTTGTATGGCATGTCTATATCGTTCCGTGTTTTTTCACTTGATTCAATATTGGTGATAAGATCTTGAAGTTTATTTAACATGTCATTTCCGATCATAAAAGTTGAGGGAATCTTATCAACAGAGAATCTGACATACTCTAAAGGATGTCGCCTTTATCTCCATATATCTTTTTATTACGGGCGGTAACCTTGGCATCCCTTGGCAACATTGATTATTTGCTCTCCCAATTTGTTGATGATACTACAGGCGTCTTAGGTAGTACAGAAACTGTTTGGTTGCTATTATGAAGGTACTCACACTTTATGTCCTATTCACAGGTTTAAAAGGGGGCACGGGTGGGCCAGTAAGGCTGGCCGCGATTCGCTGTGCAGAGTTGTGTCCCTTGGGCACGCCAGAAACCTATGATTGTGGGTTCGAACCCGGTTCGCCCCGATTATGTTTCTAGGTTTGTCAGCACCATACCCGTGCTCGTGGGTTTCACCGCAGTGGTAAACGTCTGAGACCTGCATCACTTCGGGCTTTCCTCCCACATTAAGCTGTCACGCCGTGATATAACTGTAATACTGGTAAAAGCGGCGTTAAACCCAACTCACTCACTCACACACACACACACACACACACACACACACACACGCACACACACACATTAATATGGATGGGCTCGAGAAAGGGATCGAAAATAAAACTTTGCCCACTATGGAATCGTAACTGGAATGAAGCGTCTTTCGAACTACTTTGCATAAAACTCGAGGAGAAATTATTGAACTAAACGTTTATGAAGTTACGCAGTTCGAAAATTGGTTAAAAGTAAAGCAAACTAGTGTCGATAACTCGAGACAATATTGATACCAAGATGTAAGCAGTATCATCTACGAAGATGGTGACCCGTAAAGACACGGGGTAGAATAGGTCTTCAGCAACCCATGCTTGCCGTAAAAGCCGACAATGCCTGTCGTAAAAGGCGACAAACGGGATCGGGTGGTCGGGCTCGCTGACTTGGTTGATGCATTTCATCGGTCCCAATTGCGTGGATCGATTGTCATGGTGTAAATCACTGGATTGTCTGGTCCACACTAGACTATTTACAGACCGCCGTCATATAGCTGGAATATTGCTGAGTGCGGCGTAAAACAACAAAAACCAACCAACTACGAAGATGATGCTTTCATCTACGTAGATGATATTTTACAGCCTGTGGCTATTTCTTTTTTTTAGGAGATATTCGGGGACAAGAGGAGAAATATTTTCTCTAAATCGATTCGTTTTAGATGACATGGAACTTCCACCACATAATAGCTTCTCTATTGATGGCAATGCCCACATATACTGAACACACAAGTTAGGGATAATTAATATTTTTGGGGATATTATATTATAATTGTGTGTTTTGTCTTCACTATAAAAGGGGCGGTCGGGTAGCCTAGTGGTTAAAGCGTTCGCTCGTCACGCCGAAGACCCGGGTTCGAATCCCCACATGGGTACAATGTGTAAAGCCCATTTCTGGTGTCCCCCGCCGTGATGTTGCTGTAATATTGCTTAAAGCGGCGTAAAACCATATACTCACTTCACTATAAAAAAAATGTCCCTAAAACTATCCATGATTACTAAGCATTTTTTCTTCAGTATATAATAACGCTGTTCTGATTGGTTGGTTGGTTGGTTGGTTGGTTGGTTGTTCAACGCCGCACTCAGCAAAATTCCAGCTCGATGACGACGGTCTGTAAGTCATCGAGTCTGGACCAGACAATCTAGTGATTGACATCATGAGCATCGATCCACGCAATTGGGATACGATGACATGCATTAACCAAGTCAGCGAGCCTGACCACCCGATATCGTTAGTCGCCTCTTACGACAAGCATGGGTTGCTGAAGACCTATTCCACTCCGGATCTTCCCGAAGACATGTCCATTCACAATTACCACCTGACAAATACATGTACATGTACCCTGTTTTCCCTTTTAAGCACCCCGCTCAAACTATGCCCAATGACTTTACTTCTGATTCACACATTATACACACACAATCGTACGGAAGGATTTTTGTTAAATTATTCAGTTTTCGTTGGTAACCACGGAAAAAGCAAAAAGACAGGTTGATTATAAAATATGGAATTGATCAAAAACTCATCAAAATATTATGTTCACAGTCATTTAAGTATTTTTCCATTTATTTCTTTTACAACTTAATGTAAAATCGAGATAATACAGCCAGGCTTGTTCCACAGAACTCTTCAATTATGGCCTGTGTGAAGGTTGTCATATTGTGTAAGAAGGAAAATATTTTCCTGCTCACCTAATATGACACCGTATACGGCAAACTAAAGACACCATAACTAATAATATTGCTACCAATACCAAGGAAGCATCGAGCATATTCCCCTGGTTTAAGCGGCAGCCAGTTGGTGTAAATAAACTCAGTTCTATCATGAGACGAATACCCCAAAATGCCGGCTTCCAAAACAGGAAACTCACTAACCATTCAGCAAGAAAATTCCTTGTCCAAAATCTGTCTGATGAAAATATTCCTCCCACGCATATTATGCAAATTTCAGGTCATCGTAACATGCAGAGTATCAACAACTACAGTCACACTTCATCCCGACATCGAAACATCACTAGCATCCTTAGCGGCGGTGTCGGGCTGCGGGATCACAAGCAGGCTTTGGCGACGGAGAGTAGTCTCCCTTCGACAGTGAACGTATACTAACCTCCGCAATGTCACATTCAAGCACAGGGGTTGTTTCACTCAATGACAAACTCTCCTTAATATTTTCGGCTCGAATCTATGGGGGGCACATTTAACATTAACACAAGTGCAGATCCCCCATGTGCAAAGAAATCCAAACAATCCTCCGATGACGACGACTCAAATTGAATGGGCGGCACCAGCACATGTCCTGAACGATAATAATAGCGTCACCCTTTTAAATTTGTTTCACTTGTTTCATTTGATTCATCTACATCTCCGATGCAATTTCGTGGTTTTAGAATGTTTAATGAATATTCTTTAATGTTATCTAGTTTGCATTATCGTTATGGCCTTGCTGCTCAGATATGGCTGAAACTATTTTGTGGAGGGTCACATTTGGTATGAACTGTAAGCAGTAGGCCGACTGACGTCACACGTTCTGCTATGGATTAATGCGCCGTTGAGATGAGAATAGACGAAATATGCATCGATTCGATCTAAATTGGTGCTACTTTAGGGTTTGTAAGTGAGTGAGTGAGTTGGGTTTAACGCCGCTTTTAACAGTATTCCAGTAATATCACGGCGTGTCAGCTTAATGTGGGAGGAAAGCCCGAAGTGATGCAGGTCTCAGACGTTTACCACTTCGGTGAAACCCACGAGCACGGGTATGGTGCTGACAAACCTAGAAACATAATTGGGGCGAACCGGGATTCGAACCAACAATCATAGGTTTCTGGCGTGCCTGAGGGACGAAACTCTGCACAGCGAATCGCGGCGCCTTAGACGACTGGGCCACCCGTGCCCCCTAGGGCAGTTTACTACACTCGTGTCTGTCAGATACCCTTTATCTCACAACGAGTTGTTTCAAAACGTAACGAGCGAAAGCGAGTTAGATAGTTTTGAAACAACGTGTTGTAGGATAAAGGGTATCTGACAGACACGAGTGTAGTAATCTCTATTTATCTACATTAGGATCGCATACATAATGATACATGTTCCGCAGTTGTTCAATATACGATAAACAGTTTGGAAACACACTTATACGTAGAAGCCGTTCCTTATAGGTTTTATTTACGTTATTATTCACAATTAATTCTCTTAATCACTCATACCATATCTCTTAAATTTGTTGAAACAATTATATAGCCTGTATTTGCATGACGGTGTGTTTTCAGAAATAGCCATAATTTTTGTTTGTTTGTTGTTTAACGCCGCACTCAGCAATATTCCAGCTATATGACGGCGGTCTGTAAAATAATCGAGTCTGGACCAGACAATCCAGTGATTGACATCATGAGCATCGATCCACGCAATTGGGATTGATGACAGGTATCAACCAAGTGAGCGAGCCTGACCACCCGATCCCGTTAGTCGCCTTTTACGGCAAGTATGGGTTGCTGAAGACCTAATCTATCCCGGAATCTTCACGGGTCTGAAATAGCCTTAAACCATGATGATAAGAAACGGCTTGCAACAATTATCAACCAGACCAGACATGGACATTACCGTCTCTTTTCACTGCGAAGATTTGGTTTGGTTTGTTATTTAACGCCGCACTCGGCAATATTCCAGCTATATGACGGCGGTCTGTAAATAATCGAGTCGGGACCAGACAATCCAGTGATTGACATCCTGAGCATCGATCCACGCAATTGGGATCGAGGACCTGCATCAACAAAGTGAGCGAGCCTGACCACCCGATCCCGTTAGTCGGCTTTTACGGCAAGCACGGGGTTGCTGAAGACATATTCTACCCCGGATCTTCACGGGTCTAACGCAATTGGGATCGATGACATTCATCAACCAAGTCAGTGAGCCTGACCACCCGATCCCGTTAGTCGCCTCTTACGACAAGCATAGTCGCCTTTTACGGCAAGCGGTGTAGAAAAGGTCTTCAATAACCCATGCTTGCCGTGAACGATGCTCATGATGTCAATCACTGGATTATCTGGTCCAGACTTGATTATTTACAGATCGACGTCATATAGCTGGAGTTTTGGTTTGGTTTGGTTTGTTGTTTAACGCCGCACTCAGCAATATTCCAGCTATATGACGGCGGTCTGTAAATAATCCAGTGGTTAATATCATGAGCATCGATCCAAGCAATTGGGATCGATGACATGCATCAACCAAGTCAGCGAGCCTGACCACCCGATCCCGTTAGTCGCCTTTAACGACAAGCATAGTCACCTTTCACGGCAAATATATAGCTGGAGTATTGCCGAGTGTCACAACAAACAAACAAATAAACAAGCGTTTGTCCTGGCTGCTCGGATTTTTTTTTTTTTTAAAGGGCGAAGGTTTAAGTATTTGCCCTTT